ATTTAATTTATATTATATTTATTAATTTTAATATAATAAATTTTCATATTTAATTTATATTATATTTTTTGATATATTTATATATTTTAATATATATATATATATTTATTTATTTTACTATATATATAGTATATCAATTGAATATATATTTTTTTTTTTTTTTAGTTATATTTATGAATACGTAATACTTTAAACGCCTTGTTATTAATCGTTATTAATATTTGAAATGTTTTTTAAAAAAAAAAGACCGTTATAGAACATACAAGTCATAAATTGAACTTTACGAGCTCGTTTTTGAGATATTTCGAAATATATCTTTGAATTTCTTGTTTTTAATTTTTTCTTTTCTTTTTTTTTTTTTGTATTTGCAATATGTAATTTAAATAAACGCAATAAATTATACATACATACATATTCATATACTCGAAATTATACGTGTTCGATACATCGAACTCTCGCATGACCAAAAATGTCTGCCGTAAAAAATCAATGTTACGTTTTGTAACAATCGAGAAAATTGAGTTTCATCTTCGACAAAATGAAATCTTTTTAAAATTTTTTTCACTCTTTAATGGTTTTCTTGTTTTTTTAGTTTTTTCTTCTTCTGTCATCATTTAATACTTTTTTTAAATGATGATGATGATAGTAATTTTGAAATGAATTTTTACTGGTAGGAGTTTTAGTCGCCATTTATTAATATTTTCATTATTTATTGATCGTCGTTTATGATCTTGACATTGGCAATGTTTATTCATTTAAAAGTCGATTAATTGAAAAAGAAGGTCGTGCGAGAAAGAGAAGAAGTGAGGATAAAGAATGTTTCTTTTATCGATTTATTTTTTTTTTCTTTTTCTTTTTTTTTTCTTTTTCTTTTTTTTTCCTCTTAACCTTTACTACGAGAAATTATATTCACTAGATGCATGGTGTAAACTGTAAAATATATTGGAATGAACTTTCATCGATTTATTTTTTTTTTATTTTTTTTTTTTCTTAATCTTTACTTCTAGAAATTAATTTTCAACTGTAATTTCATCATATTACTACAAACTATATATATATATATGTGTGTGTGTATGTATTTTTGATATAAATCATTGAAACAGTTTATTTGTCCAAATTCTATGTAATTTCTTGTCCAAATAAAATACTGTAAAAATTAAAAAGTATTATTTATAATAATATATATTATTTTTTTATAAACAAATTACTCCGACAAAATTTTAAATATGAAATTAAATCTATTTATAACAAAAATTTCGTTTACATTTTCACATAATTAAATATTATATTACATACATATATGTATATATGTATAAGGATGTTTCAGTTTTTTACCTCGACAAAATTTTACAACGGAATATTTTATAAATTAAAATAAGAAAAAAAAAAAAGTAAAATAAAATGTTACATGCGAACGATGGGTTTTTATAAATGCTTCATTAAAAAGTTAGAACATGTTTTTTTTTTTTTTTTTTTAATACATTTTAAACATTTAAAAAGTCCGTGTTCGTATAATACATCTTTTGGTTTATTTTTCTTGATAAAATACGTTAATAAAATGTCGTGAAATATTTTACAGGAAAAAAATGGGCTCATTTGCAATGGTTATTTTTACGACCATCTGTACGTAAATTGCATTTTATATTTTAATATTTTATTTATACTATTATTTATATATATATATATAGTATTTATATATAGTATATAATTATTAATTTATATAATATAGTGTATAATATAATTATTATATATATTTTATATTTTTTTTATCTTCCATTATTACATCTTCCATTATATATATTATATTATATATAATATAATAAAATATATATAATAAAATAATAAATTATAGTAATATATATATATATATATATATATATAACATAATTATATAAATAAATTAATATATTATATATTATATTATATTATATATATATAGTATGTCAATTGAATATATTATATATATATATATATATATATATATATATTATAGTATGTCAAATTGAATATATTTTATATATATATATATATCCTTTCATTATAATATCGATATCTCGAAAGTAGCGTAGACTTTTGTTGAATTCATTTTTTAATTTATTTTTTTATTTTTTTTTTCAAAGTTAACCTCTTTTAGTTATTATATTCAACCGAAACGCGTCATAGTACTTTACGTAAGTACAGTGCTTGAGGGGGGCAGTAGTATCGATCTAATCTAGAAAATATATGTAGAATGGTTGTGGTGTGTTGTGTGTTCCATTGCTTTTAGAAGAAAAAGACGACGATTTAATGAAGCGTATATTTATTGTTCAGTTCACACATACCAGGAGTCTGTTCTTTTCAAATCGTTCGGAATAATACTTCTCTATCCTTTCTTATGGGTTAGAATAAGAGTGTATTATACATATGAAGATCATGTGACATATAATTCGTAAGAGAAACAGACTGACTGTGACAGATAAACTGACTATCTGACTGATATAACCGTAATACGTCTAAACATATATTTTGATTGTCAAGTGTATGTGAATGTAAGTGTATGTGTGTGTGTGTATGTGAAAATGTAACGTTGATGATGATGATGATGATGATGATGATGACGTTTTAACGTCAAACGACGCAACAAAACATAACATACGCATTTACCGTAACATCTGTTGATATATATATATATATATATATATATATATATATTACATTATTTTCTACTTTGCATAAACAAATTAGTTTGAACGTATATCAACTTTGATAAGAATCGTAATTAACGAATACTCCATGTTAAAAATACAAGTGTCATTATTGGCTAAAAATAATATGGGAATATAAGACTAATATAAATATAGTAATAGACAGTTGAAAATATGATAATGATAATGAATAATAATAATAATAATAGTAATAACGTTGGTTATGATGATTGGTCTAACCTGTCTTTTTTCTCGCCCTCGACGAGTTCACCTTCGACGGGAGGAACCTTTTCCTCCTGTGGAAGTTCTGGAACTTCGTCAGCTTTCTTTCCCATCCAAGTAGAAACTTGGTTAGTCAAGCCGGAGAACATTTTAAAGATGTCTTAATGCGTAATCTCCGCCCTTTTATTACACTATTGACTCCCGTTAAACACACCTCCTCCCTATAATCGTACTGTCTTCGTCTTAACCCTTTACACCTTCTCTTTCCACTTTATTCTCTAACCTATTTCTTTAATTTATATATATCGTTTTTTTCTTTTCTTGTATTCTTTTTTTTCTTCTTCTTCTTCTTCTTCTTCTTCTTCTTCTTATTCGCGAATGAAGACCGTAAGCAAAGTGACGACGAAAATCCCCGACCGTCTTCGCGATCGCGCAACCACGAACTGCAATAACTGCATGTGCATGCGCGCACCTACCTTCGCGCATATCCCATCCGCGACCCTAGCGCCGCCACCCACACCCGACTAACTCGAGAATTAAATGGCGGGGCTTATGAGATCGATCGATTTGTTACGAAACGATGCTTCTCTTTAAAATCTACTAATGCGCGGTACACCGGCGCGTCTTTCGACAAATTCACCACCTCTGCTGCTTCTTCTTCTTCTTTTTTGACTTCTTTTATAAAAGATCGATCGAGTCACTCATATAAACCTAAATATTTCCACGATTGTAGCTCATAAATTCTATATACCTATATATATAGATATATATATATATACATCTAGTGTTATTTTATAGATTTTTGTCATCTAGTCTTATGATCGACCACGTCCTAGATTTCCTTTTGTCGCACTGCGTTTTGACCTTGTTGAAAACTATAAAATTGCATGTTGAACGTAGTTAAAATAATCGATTAAATATATAATAAATTTCAAATAAAATTTGGATGTCCAGAATATTGATAAATATATATATATATATATCAATTCTAAATAAAATGATATAAAGTGTTATAAATATCTTCTTATCCATACTTTATTTCAACAATCTTCAAATCAATTACAACAATTGTCGATAGGTATATAATTTTCTGTACATTGATACAAAATGTCGAATTATTATCGACGTTATATTTTGATGATAATGATGTTACAATATTCGTGTCGTAATTCAAATTCTTAGATTACAAGTTTTGGAGGTAGAGAAAAAGTTTGTGAAAGATAAATATATATATATATATATGTATGTATATATATATAATAAGAAGACGAACGAGATTATCAATAATATCGGGAATGAAGATCTATGTAATATATAATATATAGATGTATAATAATATAGAGATTAAACATGATGAACAAATGAAATGACTAGTTCATCAAGTTCCCGTTTGTACTTATGCTATTTGTAATCATTCCCAATATCGGATACGATCGGTTATCGAATTAATGTGACATTTGTTCTGAATTTTTTTTCATTTTTTTTTTCATATACATTCATCCCTGTTGTTTAGAAACGTAAATATATTTATTCTCGTATTATATAATTTATGTTACTATTAGCTATAGTGGTCGACGCGTCGATAAGTCTAACATGGTCCGATTTGTACCATTCATTCGCATGCACTGCACGCATTAAGGTATAATATGTATGCATATATTGGCTAATTAATTATCGATAAATCGTCGCAAGTCTTTTACGTATATGCATTCATTGATTAACGAAAGCATTGAACGTAATAAAATTGAAATTATCATCATCCTAATTATTCATACGAATTTGTTAATACGATTTTACAATATCATCGTATGAATATTAATTTATACAACAAAGTGTTATTTGTACGTTATGATAAATGATAAATTATAATCCCCTTCGTTTAACTTATAATCTTGATAATCGTTGTCATCCAACGCTCTTCATATTATCTTCTAGGAATGCAGTAATAGGATAAGTTTTAACTAGCTGCTTTTTGATGATTGGTTAGCTAAAGTTTCTTTTTCTCGTTGATATCTATAAAATAATAAAATTATTCATTAAATTGATTATTTAGAAATTAATTATTATTATTATAATTAATTCATTTATTATATTATTTTAGAAAATTTGTTAATATAACAATAAGGAAATAATATTTTCTACTAACTAACTCAGTTTGTATTTGTAGATAAAAATAGATAAACTTATGTTATAATGTTGTATTTATTTAAATCAATTTTTAACAAGTTTCACACACATATTGTTAACAGTACGAAGTGATGGATACAGAAACTTTGTGTCAAATGATTTCTAAAAATAAACTCTAAACGACGCGACGTCATTTTCTAGTATGAACGAACGAATAAACTAAAGAACGAACGAACGAACAAACGGCCTTGATTCATGAAACCAGAAAAGAACTTTTTAAGTGTATACTTGACAACGAACGTAAAGAATAAATTCTATATACTTATAGGAATGTTATTACAATGACATTAATTGTTTATAATAAATTTGTACAAATTTTGTGAGATCTGAATTGATTTTTGTATAATTATCGTTACATGTATATATATATATATATATATATATATAT